TTATGACGAAATTCCAGGTTTTCAGTTTTACGTCTATAAGAGGGGTGTTAGGGTTTATATTTACTTCTTTGTAAATTATTTTAGATATATTATACCCTTTTTTACTTCTTTAAATAAGATCTTCTGAAACGAACATAAAAAATATGCTGAGTATATCAAAATGATATTCTTGTAGGAAACATATTTTAAATCTAAATACGCGGATTTAGATTTCAATAATTTAAAATGGCGGATCAATATGGCGGTTGAACTTTACTTGAAATTTGTATGTCAGTGAGTTTAAGGTTATGGTTTCCATTTTCCCCACTTGCCATTACGCCTAAGCAGAATGAAATCTCTAATCGTAAATCTTAAGCTTTTACATGAGAGAGAAAAGGATAGAAATATCTTTAGTCCTTTTCTCTCTCATGTAAAAGCTTAAGATTTACGATTAGAGATTTTATTCTGCGTTGGCCCATTTGTCATAATTCTCGTCAACTACCGCACCCTGCTCTAGTAAAAATTTAGTGACTTTATTATTAAAATTAAAAGTTACTAAATTTTTACTAGAGCAAGGTGCGGTAGTTGACGAGAATTATGACAAGTGCGGAGACAATGGAAACCAACCTTAACAGTGTCAGAGACTTTTTTTTATTCTTTTTAATAATAAAATTTCATTTATTTCGATATTATTTGATGCATATAAAGACTTTTTTAGAATGTGTATTTCTAAATTATCCTTTAAATTTTTTCAAATTGCTTTATTCTTAAAACAAAAAAGGCGAACTTATAATATACAAAAAGATTAATCGACTCCAGCCTTTTACCACTTTCCCCCTCCCCTCGCCCATTTAAGCTTCGCTCATTGTGGGACCTGTCAATTTACTTGGGTCTGATTAATGAAGCTCATAATATCTCACGCTACCATTCGAGGCGCCTTACCGCACCTATTAGGACTTATTACTTATTAGTAACAAGTTTCATCTCAAGTAGCATGAAAAATCATATATATATATATTACTCCTTCATTATTTTTATACTGAACTCGATGCTGAATAAATATAAATAAATGTTTCATAAAAATTGTTAATTACACAAGAAAACAAATTCTGGTCAATTTTTGGATCCGAAAAAGTAAACACGTTTCATAATGTATTTTTTTACGCAGAATTCAAATCTAACGTTAGTTTTTCTCTAACACGTCAAATTTAAAAATGGCGGATCCAATATGGCGGGGAACAATTAAAAATCAATAGTATTCGCTTAAAGCATGTTACTCGGGGGGTCGTTGATTACGAATATGTAGTCAGTCTTTAAAAATTCAAAATGGCGGATCCAATATAGCGGACGAAAAAAATCTTACTTCAAATTCGTAATCAGCAACCCCAAGAACCTTCAAGTTACAATTTTTTTCTAAGTCATATATTTCGAATTTCAATAACAATTGTTTAAAGTAACAAAAAATTATGCGCAATTATCTCAAAAACTTAACGTATAATGAAAAAACGGACTGATGATTCAAATTCAATGTAAAATTTATCTTTGTAACAGGTTTTCGTTGCTCGGGTCCAAAACCTTGTAAACCTGTGTCTTTATCTAAACTTTCCACGTATTTTTATCGAAAAATTTTATAACAATTAATAGCAAAATAATTACAGCGTATTTATACAGAAGTTAAAGTTTCTCGATAAGAAAATAATATTAAAAACAAAATATACGAATAAAAAAAAAAAAGAGTTTCGCAATAAAAAAAACTTTTGGTAGACATAAAGTTGAAGTTTCTGAAAATATCACTATTTAGCTTTCCATTGAGGATATTTTGTAAGCGCAGTAGCGAATCTCCACTTCGAGTCAAGTATAAGTATTGGAGAACAGGACGCGAACTTCTGGACTTGGTTGCGTCGGTCAAAAGGAAACTTTATGAGAGGGAAACTTTGCGGAGACTTTGTGTGTTGAAGTAGAGAGACGGATGGACGATGAGAAGGAGGACTTGAGAGGAGGTAAAAGTAAAAAAAAGAAAGGAAACTTGCAAGAACGGAAGTATGGACGCGAACGGAAGGCGGTCTGAAGAGAAAGATAGAGAGTTCGTGGACGAGAGAGCCGAGTATTGATTTCACCCTCTCCGACCACACTCGGAAGGTATAGAGGAGAACGGGAGGATCTAGGGGCGATAGAGTCACTCGACTTTACGAACTCAGGTGGCTGCGGTCTCTCAACTTCCTAGAACGACATGAAATAAAAACTTGAAGGAATTCACCATCAAACTTATATATAGAGAGGTATATAAAAATAGAAGCGCATTCGATTTTTAAAATACTTCTAACAAAATCATTTAAAAAAAACATCCACTACAAAAAAAAAAAACAAGTATCATAAATATTGATTATTTTTCGAAAAGATGTTTCTTCTACAGATAATTGGATGTAGAAGTTTTAACAGTAAAGAGGATAATACAATCTATGCGCATACAACGGATTATACTATGAAGGCTATTTTTCCTATAACACACAGAACTTTATGAAGGCAAACGGACATTTACTGCCTCTTCCATTCGCCAAGCATTGGCGGTAAGTTATTGCGAATGTTACTGTCGTATTTTGTGTCATGGAAGACGTTCATACTGTCTACTTGTTACGATTCTCTTTTCCATATATATTTCACCGCATATTGAATATCACAGCGCAACAATATTCTTTAAAAGTTCACTAAAATCTAAATTAAGAAAATGAAAAATTAATGTTCCATTTGATAAAAGTCAATCATTCCCCGGGGGGGTTGACTATATTTATTATTACAAAAGTTGAGTAACAAAAGAGAACTGAAAAATCGTTATATGTCCAGTGTGGCCGATGATGAGTATATACCTGCGCACAAACGGCAATGTGTATAATTCATAATTTAGTCAGTTTTTGCCCGAGCACTTTCGCAATATTAAACACAGACACACAGGGGCACCCACAAAGCTGCGGCGAACGAGCGAGAGAGAGAGAGAGCTCAAAGCACAACCCTCCTTCCATTCTATCCCCTTTGAACCCCTCGTCTTTCTCCGCAACCCTTGACGCTACGATAAAAAAAATGATATTCCAGGTCGTTAGTAATTAAAAATTTTTAAGCATTTTCACATTAATGTGACATTTTTTATTCCATACAACAAAAGAGAATAATTCGTTCAGAAATAAATGGAACATTAAAAAAGCGGTTAATATTTACTTCTAACATCTCTCAGTGTATATATTCAGTGGCGTGTTGTTACAGTGGGCCAGGAACTTCGATTTCTTGCCAAAAGTGGATTTTCAAAATCTGATGCCATATTCGTAATCAGCGACCCCAAAAACTCCCAAGTAACGATTTTGGAGCGAATTTGTTAAAATTTTAATATTTCGCACGCCATTTTGAATTTTTAAAAACCAACAGCAAATTCGTATAATCAACGACCTTGAAAATCCCCGAGTGACGATTTTCATGCGAATCTGATTATTTTTTAAAAATAGTGTCCGACATTTTGAATATTTGATGCTGAATTCGTAATCAGCAACCTCAAGAACCTCTGAGTGATGATTTTCAGATGAATTTTTTAACTTTTTCAACTTTTGGCCAAAAATTGATGTTCCTGGCCCACTGTGCACTGACCATGCTATCTTAGAGACCTTAAGGTGAAATCACATGGAGACGTAAAATCGTCATCGAAAAACGAAAAACATGAGAGTGAAAGAGATAGTTATATCTGTCTATTTCTTTCATTCACATGATGTCCGTTTTCGAGCGATGCTTTTACGCCGATATGAAACAGTAGAGGCAATATTACCCGGCGAACGGTAAAGGCCTGAGCAGAATAGAAACGTAACCGGAATCGTAATCGCAAACAAAAAAATGAGTTAGAGAAGGATAGATATATTGTTTGTCCTTCTCCAACTCATTATTCCGGTTGCTTTTGCGGTTACACGATTCCGGTTACGTTTCTATTCTGCTCAGGCCTTAACGAAAGCGAGAATATTACCGACCAAAATTCTCCAAGAGAATTTATGAGAATATAAGAGTGCGTACGAAACTTAAGGCCAAAATAAAATAAAAGGAAGGTTGCCTCACCATTGGTCATAATTCTCGTCAACTACTGCATCCTATACTTTAGTGAAAATTTAGTAATTTTATAGTAACTTTTAATTTTAACAATAAAGTTAGTAAATTTTCAGTAAAGCAGGGTGCGGTTAGTTTATTGATTACAAATTTCAAATGAATAAAATAATTGTTATTTATACATTTTAAACGCAAACTTTTTTTTTAACTCTTATAATATTGAAAATTCTCTTTTTTAAAGGACCTGAAGCTGTTTTTGCGGGGGAAAGAGATTTGAAGCTACAACACTGATATGTACATATATATTAAAATTTTTAGATACACTCAAATCTCGCTATAACGACCTTCACTATAACGAGCGCTTACTATAACGAGGGCTCTGTCTCTCGGTATAGCGAGAGAAATTTTCTCCTGTTTGCCCCCACTATTTTATAAACAAACGCACTCACACACCTAAAGTGACAATCGTATAAAGCGCACTGAAATTTAAATCAATAATTTATAACCTATTTATGTTTATAAATAAACTATATTTTAAAAGTTGCTCTAAATTAACTTATAAATTTTTATTAGTATATTTTGTTACATATTTTAAAAAAACTTTACGTAATAACTTAATAAGCAATAATATGTTATTAGAAACATTATTATTAACAATTATTAAAGTGAAAGTATTAATCATTTATGTAATTTCTAAAATTATTACAGACAACATTGACAAAATTTCTTAGAGAAATTAAATTTTTGTAAAATTTAACTTATATTTTAAAGATTTCATGGAAAATTGACATTTTTAGTTGAATGTTAAAAAACACAATTTAATGTGACATAAGTATTTTATTATTGCATTATTATTCACAGTTAATTATTACATACAAATTTTTCATTACTTCAACATGAATAAATCTTTAAAATACTAAAATAGTATTTTATAATATATATGAGCACGTTACAATTTTATAATAAAAACTTATTATTACTTATTAATATTAATTTTTATAAAACATAATAACTCTTTTGGCAATATACTTCTAAATAACTAATTTAATTTGCAAATTAGCCAACTCTTTTATCAATAAACTTTTAAATAGAACTAAAAAACTAAATATATTTTTAAATAAAAATTAAATAACCAATTAAACTTTTAAAATGAATAATTTAAATACGTTTTTCACAATCCATTATTGTTGAAAATGTGAAATATATCTAAGAAATACAACTCTGTCAAACATTTTTAGCTTGATTGAGTGTAACATTTAGGGCAAGATCTCGGGCTTTAATGAATATTAGGCGTTCTTCTTCAGTAAATTCTGAAAGTCCTCGAGTCCAGTTAACAATACATTGAGCAGCATTAAGAATTGAAGGTTGAGTTGCTAATTCATCAATAGTTTCTTCAAGTTCTTCATCCTCATTACAGGAATCTGGAGTTTCATTTTCCATAGGTATCGGCAAGTTCAAATCAGCATGTCTATTTAGAAGTTCTTCATCACTTATAACTTTAAAGAGAGGTAAATTTACTTCATCCTCTTTTTCAAGCCAATTTGTGACATCTCCTGACGAATATACAGATCCTCCTGGTAAGCGATTAACCAGGTTTACAAGTTCATTGTTTGAAATCGTTAATTCGGTGTTTGATTGAAGAGTCATCCCGTTGAGAAGTGAAGCCTAGAAAACATTTCAAATTCTATTTTTATATAGAGTTATTTAACTGGAACGCATGAATATCCCTTAAAATGTATTATTTCAAATTTCTTAAGGCCGAATTTTAAGTGCACAGTATTTATATACTAAAAAGTTTGCATCTTACCAAATTTTTATTTAAAAGCATTTTTATTAACCAAAAAATTTAAAATATCAAATTCTCTATTTTACAAATTTTTTAACCAACAGAAATTCCATTAACCAAAATTTTGATATTTCAGAATTGTTATAAAGAGAAATTTCTATTAAATGTAATTTTCAAATCACAAAGTTTATTTATATTATTCATTATATATATGATATATATATTATATATATTTATTTACAATAACGCAGAAATATTTCTGCCAGCTATTTGTTTGGCCAAATGACAATTCTGCAAAATAAAATATTAACGTTCTAAAAATTCCATTTAACGTCTATTCTCTCAAATAAAATTTTGAAGGGTAAAGTTGAGTAAATTTCCTTGTTTTCCCCTTCGAATAAAAAATCCTTTTAAATATGAAGTTTACAATTATTAGTCCTTGATAATATTTTTAAATTATCGCAGATATTTACAAATTTTACCGGATTTATTAGTTTTTTCCAAGAATTTCGAAGTGTGTTTGGCGTTAATGAAATCCAAGCCTCTCTCAAAACGTTCATGCAATCCAGCACGGTCCATTTCTTCACAAATTGAACAAAATCAAAATTAGTACTATGTTCACATGCGAGTGTCTCACGTAAAAATCCCATTTTATAATGCCTTTTCATGGCAGAAATTACCCCTTGATCCATGGGCTGAATAAGACTCGTGACATTTGGAGGGAGATATATCACGGTACATTTTTCGTCAATTAAATTTAACTCCTGGGCTGATGGGTGTGTCGGAGCGTTGTCAAGCAGCAAAATGATTCTAAAAATTGAAATTGTTTACAATATATATTAAATAGCTGGTACTTAGACTAAAAAATCATGTAAATTTATATACTGTACTTTGCATCAGGTTTTAATTCCCGGACGTTTTTAAGAAAGATATCTATAAACCAGTGTTTGAAAATCTGGGCGTTCATCCATGCTTTCTTTTGATTGGTATAGTTTAACGGCAACTGTTGATTTTTTTTAAAACACCTTGGCTTTGCAGATTTACCAATGACCAAAAGTGGTATACGATGTGATCCAGTGGCATTGGCACACACCATTATTGTCAAGCGCTCTTTCATTGGTTTACGCCCAGCTACTTCCTCTTCATTTGACAATACCAAGGTCTTATCAGGCAAGGATCTGTATTGCAACCCAGTCTCATCAGCATTATAAATATTTTCAAGTTGGTAATTATTCTTTTCTAGAAATTCGTTGAATTCTGAGACAAAGTTCTCGCTCGCCACGGTATCAGCTGAGGCTTTCTCTCCTTTCGGTTGAAGCGTACGAAGATTGTACCTGTCTTTAAATCTGGACAACCAGCCATCACTCGCCTTAAACTCATGTCCTTGGTCTGATATTTTCTCATGAAGTTTTAAGGTTGAATAGAAAATCCTCGCTTTTTCCTGCAGAATTAGACCACTCACTGGTTCCCCGATGGTTCTTTTCTGGCATAACCAATCATATACGACCTTTTCTAGAAGTTCATATTCGGGTTTGTTAGCTCTTTTTCTTTTCACGTTACCACCAAAAGCATTTATATCTGCATAATATGTTTTAAGTTTTTCTTTCATTTTTAAAATAGTTGAGATGGTCGAACTGTTGACATCGTACTCCTTGCACAGTTTGTGATTTGAGTTTCCATTTTCAATTTTATTTATAATTTCTATCTTCTCTTTCAAACTTAGAGACTTACGTCTAGCTATCTGCAAAGAACATCAATATTTATTAATTTTTCCAAAACTTAATTAATAAAAAAAAATTTTAATTAGGATTTTTTATAAGAATTTTAGTTTATAAATTTTCTGTATGTTAAAAGTTAAAACTTAAATTAAACTAGGTTACGTCTCTAATTTTGACGTTATATAAATTCTAAATATTAATTAATGAATAATATGAAATTACTTACTTTCTTAGAAGCAGAAGCCATAGTTTAACACTATTTAAAATCTTGCATAAAACTTTATTATATACATTAATTTCAAAAAGAATAAATGTATTTCATGAATTTGTTTACATATTTTGATATATCACATAACCAACCATGGACTGTATTCACGTTGTTTAAATCGCGTGCAAATTACATAACTTTGTATACACTCACACATTCACGCACTAAAAAAATGAATGAAGAATCTCCAAAGTGGGGGTTTTTTATTTCTCCTCTTGTGCTCGTAATAGAGGGAGACTTAACTCCCGAACTTCTCGTTATAGCGAGATTTGAGTGTATATATAATGTCAAAGGAGAGAGAATATCTAATGTCAAGAAGGGTGCATCATGTCTCAAGGGCCTAGGAGTAAAATGTCAAGACCTTTTCTGAACCAGTTTTAAAATACAAATTGTTTTAATTTTTAAATTAAAATTCATGTTTACTAATAAAGTAGTTAATCAATTATAAAAAATTATATGTAATAATTTGCCGCTAAAATGAATTGTGAAGAAGAAAGTATACACTCGAATTAAAAAAAAAAACAATAATAACACGAAAAAATTACCTTGATCTGGGCTATTACGAAAATGATCCAGCGACTTTATATCATCGTTTGTGTGGAGGGCCTCAATTGGCAGACATAATGAGAGAGGTATATACGAGGTCGAAATATATCCTATACTTGTATATAAGTATAAAGTATAAAGCGATTTCTCTGAGAATAAGTGCATGTGCAATAACGTACCCTCGAGATATATATCCATTTTTCACGGACATATATAAATGCGAGTTATTAATAGGGTCGTATTATGAGGCACAAAAGGAGGTAATTAGCAGTCAGTTCATCAGTCACTCTCGCTCTCTTTCCCGCGCCAACCCTTAACTTTGGATGCAAGAGAATGATGTGACTCATGTCCACTATATGACTTTGGTTCGCCAAAGGTGCGAGTGGAACATTATAAGGCTAATGAAACCTCAAAATGATCTTTGCGGTGAAAAAAAATCCCAATTCCGATTAACTCGCGTTATATTTTATGTTGTTGCTGCTGCTGCCGCCGTCAAGCCCCAACGAGATTTTTAATTAGATGGATACCTATCTAGTCATCTATCATCGGTCGCCAACTACAATCATGACCCATCATAAACTCTCATATCTTGTTATAAGTATATATATATATATATGGATATACATGAAAATCAATTTGTATATTATAGTAGTGATATACCTACTTTTAACCCTTTTGGTTCAGTGTAAAAAAATTCTTTAATTATTATTTATAATATGAATATCATTCTAAATGTTATGATCTACAAAAAAAAATACACAAAAAAGATAAATTGCCCTCGTAGACCCATTGTTTCTTTGCTAATCAATGTATATATATATTATCTATCTTAGTAATACTAACATTGGACAGAAGTCGAATTATTGTGTAAATTAACATAAAGGCGCTTGTACACATTACAATTTCTGAGTATATTCGGAATTCGCCAGAAATTTCACTAACTTTGATTGGCTTTGCTCATAGAGAATTTCGAAATTTTCCAATCTTTTGAAAATTCTTTATGAGCAAGGCCAATCAAAATTAGTATAACTTTTGACAAATTCTGAGTATACTTAGAATTTGTGAGGTGTACAAGCGCCTTAAATGTTAATGTAGAAAACCTTCGCGAAAGACGTTCGCAAACGTAAAGCATGAGTTAGAAAAGAACAAAAGTATGTTTATCTCCTTTTCTATCTCATGCAGCTCGTTCGCAAAACTATTGTTCATTGGCCCTAAGGCATCCTGCTTAACATTATCTTGACTACCCAACCCTGTCAACTGACATATTTCATATCGTCTTTTTATTGTTATTCTTGTCTAAAATTATAAATTAAATTAAATTATAAATTACGCACCAATTAAATGAATACATTTTTAAAAAACAAGTAATAAATAAACAAACATAAAAACAATAAATAATTAATTTGTTTTATGTGTAATTGACCGTATTAATTATTAAATAATTTTTGTAATGAAAAGACTAAAGAAGTTTTCTTTATTTTTCAAAACTAACCTCAAAACATAACCTTCTAATATTTTTTTTCAGATAATTTAAATATAATTCTTTATCCTTTTTGAAATCTTCTAATAATCTGTCCAATAAATGGACGATCTCTATGTAATTTCTAATCTAATATCCCCTAAAGAGGAACTATAATGTTCGAAACTAGTTGGGATTTCTAATAAAAAAATATATATCCAAAAAAAACGTACTTAGGCCTTTTCATTACAAAAATTATCATTTAAAATTAAATTTATTATTCTATTGTTCACTCATCTTGAGTTTAATTTATTTTAATTATTTATTGTATTTGTTTATTTCACAATTTATTGTAATTTTGATAGACTCCCTGAAGAGGAAATCATTTAGATTTCGAAACGTTGGAGTAAACTTTTATTAAAACAACAATGGTCCGAATGTTATCGTTTTATTCAAACGAAACCTTTTAATTAAAATAATAGAAAAAATTATTAATATCCCGTGTAGAAAAAGCCACGATCTTGCCCTCAAGAGTTCGGGGCCCCGCATGGATCGCCCTCATGATCGATTAGCAAAATTTTCTAAGTCCAAAAATCAAATATTTTTTTATCACCAAAAAATTAATGTTTATAATGATTCAGAACAACGAAAAACGCGTTTTTAATAAAAATATATTTACACTTTTTTGAAAATAACACTCACACTTATGGCAAAATAAATGAGGGCCACCGTAGGGGCCCACATGGATCGCCCTCATGATCGATTAGCAAAATTTTCTAAGTCCAAAAATCAAATATTTTTTTATCAACAAAAAATGAATGTTTCCAATGATTCAAAACAACGAAAAACGCGTTTTTAATAAAAATATATTTACACTTTTTTGAAAATTCACCTGAGATGATTCATGATAATAATCATAAAGCATATAATTAATTATATTTTATAAATTGCATTTGATTGGAAAATATAATTTAATATCTTAACTTTAACTAAATGATGTTAAGCACTTTTCTTTGTTAGGTATTTTTGAAGTTTAAATAGCATCAAGAAGTTAGCATTCGTTTTGAAGTAGCGTGCCTAGCGTAGTTGGTAAAGCGTTAGACTCATAGTTCGTAGGTCGTAGGTTCGATTCCTCCCATGCGTTAGATTTATTTATTTCTCAGGTTTGCGTTTAATCATTAATTCTATGTATGAATTAATTGTAAAATGAAAATATCCGTTAATAGTATGCATAAATTACATATTTTTTAATTTTTTAATTAATTAATTTATTATTACTTTTAATTATATCCGACAGTTAATTAATTAGAACGTTAATTAATAAATTCAATTTGAGTAAGAATTTAATTTAAAATTGAATAATTATTAAATAAATATGTTATTTATTCATAACTTAAGCTTATTTATTATTAATTAACTTTTATTATTAATATTATTGATTAAAAAACATTATGGCAAACTTGAGGGCAAGATGAGGGCAAACGTGAGGGCCCATAAGGGCGCCCGTAGGGGCACCCTCATGGATCGCCCATGCGGGCGCCCTCATCGATGAGCATGTCGTTTCCATGAGGGGCCCCTATGGATCATCCATATGCGGCCCTCATGGCATGAGGGCGATCCTCATTTATTCGATGTGAATTTTAAAATTAATAAATACAATTTTTTTGCGTGATTTTTGATTGGATAATTTTAAAATTAACGACTAAAAATTTCTGACGGAAGTTAATTCGAATAGTTTTGTAAAATATTAAGACAAAAAATTATAAATTTTACTATTGTAAAATGTTATTTTAAAAAAAAACATAAATTTGAAATTTAGAGATAGAAACAAATATGAATAAAAATAAATATAAAAAAATCAACAATACCAAGAAAAATAAAATAATATTTTCAATGTAAAATTCATGCGATTAAAATTTAACTGTCTTATATATCAATTAGCATGCATTTTACATAAAAAAAATATTTCAAAATTTTCCTCAAAATTTTATTAGTTTTTTTATTAGTTTCTTATATTTCTTATTTATTATTCTTTTCAAAGAAACATATTTTTTAAAACAATTTTCGTAAATTTATTACAAAAAAATATTTTTATTTTTAAAATACCAAAAAGTTATTTAAAATATGTAATAATATAAATAAATTTTCTAACTTTATTTTGCATGTTTGCACTTATCTTTTTAGCTATTTTTTCATATACTTTAAAATAAATACCTATACATTTTTTCAAGATAACTTTTAAAACATTTTTTTCTTTAAAGTTTTCAAAAACTGTTATTGATTATTATTTGTATAATTAAAGAATAATTATTGTCATTATTCACTTATTATATAATTAATTAATAATTAAAAAGGACCACAAAATTTTATTATAGAAAATATTGACCAAACGATGTTTTTACATGTTTTTTTTGGGTCGCGAAAACTGAGTTCAGATTTGAATCAGAACTCAGTTTTCCGCTATCACGTCACATTTCTGTACAAATTAATAATATCCGCCAAAATTGTCTGTGAATACGATATAAATAAAAATGAGCAGAAGATTCCAATAAAAAACAACTTAAACACACTGGAAAAATATTGTATAATGTTAAGCAATCAAATAAATGCGTAAATATTCAAAAGTCAAAATGGCGGATCTAATATGGCGGCAATTTTTTAAAAATTCATTCCATTCGCCCGAAACTTGTTACTCAGAGATTTTTGGGGTCGCTAAAAACAAATTTGAACTCAGTATTCAAAAATTGAAAAACTGTGCTTAAAAATATTAATTTTGTAGCTGTTTTGATAACTGCTAAGAAATCTGACACTAGATTCTTTAAAATCAGGGGATCGATTATGTAAATTCCACTTCCACATCCACTTTTTCTAATTTTCCCTAAAAGGCGATAATTAATTTTAAAAATTAATAACTTATCAATTGTTTAAATAATTTGTTGTAAATTTTAAAGTTCAATAAAATTAATAATTTTATTCCTTTCAGTGGCAAAAAGTATGTTAAAGCTGTGTCTTAAAATGTTTTGTAAAATATTAAATTTGCATTAAATCTTTTTTGCGTTCATAATAAAAGTATATTGATCCTTATCACAAAATATTATCTTTGTGGTTGCAAAAAAAATTCTTTATCTCATGACTGAATCAAATATCTACTTATTTAATTAATTATTTATTAAATTTTTATAAAAAAATTTCATGTTTTGCAAAACATTTTGTGTAACACCTGCAAAATAGCGCTACTTTACTTTAACGTAAATGCAGCACAAAAGTTGTTGATTTCTGCATTTCTAATTCATTTA